TTTTAACCTGTTACCATTAAAAAATAAGATTATAAAATGGAAACAGAAAGCCACTGAAATTCTGTGGTTCACGTAGAATTATAATAACCACCAGGTGAAATCACCATGTGCAAGTGAACAATTATTAAGCTATAAAGTGCAATGAAAATATACAGGGCTTTACCTATCAGATCCCTGATAAGCTCTGCTCTGCTCTCTGCCTGGTTTGCTGGGTTGCCGGGAAGATCAAATAGTATCTCCGGTGGGTAAATGCTTTAAAGAGTTAAGAATGAGAGCCATGTGTCACTACACAATTATTATCCCCTACCCTTAGCCTTCTGAGACATAGCTGGACCTTGGTCCCCTTCCCAGCCCACCACTGCCGACCTCCTGCTGGCTCCTCTCTCCTCTAGGACCTTGTTCCCTTATCTCATACCATACATTTCCCCTCCGATACATTCACTTTACTGCCACAATTCTTACCTCTAGACCAGTGGCTCTAAAAATTTCTGTCGGAGCTATCTTCTCAGCACTGTTTCTTATCCTGTCTCTAAAAGTTTCAGGGCATTTCCAAGGGGAAGTCTTGCTAGAATATCAAAAACTGAAATGAAATCTCAACTCTCAATCTAGTTAATCTTCCTGATTTCTCAGCCTCAACCAATGGCACCCATCTTTCTCCTTGATACAAACCTTGAGCTATTTGTGAACATCTTTCTTAAGCGCATCAGGCACTAGGTGGGGCAGATGTTTCATTCCAAATGTCTCACACATCCAACCTCTGTTTTCTGGGTCCTGGCCATCACCGCTGTGGCTGGATTGTTACAACTGCCTCTGAACCACACCTCAGCAGGTCTCCTTCCACTGGCCAAGCCAACTTCCATGTGTTTGCACACCCTCCTTCCTCTTGACATTTACCTGCTTCAAAACTTTCCACAGCATGTACTGCCTACAGTCCACTGCTTGGCAGTCACTTCTTTCACATCTGATTCTCCCTCCTGGACAGATTTTCTCTTAGCACGTAACTTCTGTTCTCACCTCCCTGGCTTTGGTCAGCTTGTAACTCTCATATCTATCCTCTTTCACTTCCTATAAGCAAAACCCATTAAATCTTTCAAGGCCCATCTGTTCCAGGGGGTCTTCCCCAACTACCCCAGAATTCACTCATCATTACTCTCTTCCTCTCCTCCGAAAAACCACAGCATTTAGAATCTTTTGTCATCCCATCCAGTTTTGACTCTCACTTGGACAGTTTGATCCTATTAAAGGAATGTTAGTCTTAGCTCTCCAGGTAGAGAACAATGAGCTTCCGGGGGGGGAAGTATCCCTACTTTTTTTATTTTGTGTTTATTCTAATTATTACCAGTGCCTACCACAGTGCTGTCCTTAGTGTGCACTCAACAAAACCACTTCATTGATTTTTATCAATGCTCCCTAGGCCCCACTCATGTGGATGCAGGCAAATATATAAAGGGGAATTAAATATTTCTTTTGCTTGTTGTTTGTTCTTTCAAATCTCTTCAATTCCCTTCCCCAAGATAACTGCAGCCTTCAGTAGAGAGACAGATGCTGAGGTGGTCCCTGGCCAGTGCGCAGAGGCACCAAACTCTTTGTGACTAAGCGTCATTACCAGCAGTATTCAATTTCCAAAGTCGGCTTCCTTCTCAGTTGCATCCAGGGCCAAGGAGGCTCAGGGAAAATGAGATGGTCCTGGCCCAAAGTCAATGGCATGGCATTCATAGCTGATCTGTCCTGACAAATCAGCTGAGAATGAAAAATCAATCTGCTAATTTTATTAATGACATTTCACCTTGAATATTGCTTTAAGTGAGAACGCTTGACTTTGGAAGACAATAGAAAACCAGAGGATTTCTGCATGTCTTTATTTAGCAGTAAAACAAATTAAGGTTTATTCTCTGTTGCTCATCCGCAAACTTGTCTGCCTATGGGTCATGAAACAACAGGGGGGATAAAGCTCTCTGCACTGAGAAGCTGATGAGTTCCCACTGCTCTAGAGCAGAATTCTGCCCCTGGTATGCCTATCTACAAGGAAGATGGAAGCAGGGTTTAGAAGAGGGTGAAAGTAATTTCAAAAGATTTCCACTCTTTCTTACCGGGTTTTCTAGAAGCAGTACCCTGCAAATGCAATTAGGAATTGCAAAAGGCTAAAATGGGAGGCAGCATCACTCCTCAAATACTCCTCCAAGGGCAGTTCACTGCAGTCCCAGGTTTCAGAAGCTCAGAATGAGGAGAGCTCTTTCTGTCACTGTGTCAGTGTCTCTGTCTCTCTGACTGTCTCTCTCTTTCTCTCATACACGCACACACACACTCAGCATCTATCAAGCCTTAGTATTTAGACAGAGGGTTAGAAAAAGGGAACAAGTGATTTTGGGAAAAACTTGTAGACTATGAAGAGGTTCTACCTCGATAAAAAATAAATGAAATAGTAAAGTATATGAAGACTCATCAGAGTCAGTACCGTATCAGGGGCAATTTGCTTCCCTTGTGGCACAGAAAAACTCAGATTCTGGCCCAGGTTACACAGTGACCTGGTCCAGGTCCTGGTTCAGGATCTGAGTGTCTTTGCACAACACTACGGAACAGCATACTAAGAAAACTGTACAGCTGGTGTGTACTCAAGCCCAAGATTTCATGGAATTTTAAGTCATTACATGGGGCTGATGATGGATACAAAAAACAGTTCTAGCTTGCTAATTCTTGTTACCAAAGTACTTTACACAGCAGATGTATTTCTTACCAGGTTGACTGTAAACAGAATTCTTTAAAACAAATTCTATTTTGAATTCAGTAGAGAAGCTGTTATTTGAAAGAATACTAAAGCTAAATACCACCTCCAGATTTCTTTCATAAATGCAGATATTCAGAGTTTGGATTTGCTTACTAAAGCAGGGTCCATCATATTATTCCATTTTAGAGAAGACACTAAAAACTTAATTTTCATGTAATTTTTTTGCAGCACATATTTACTATTTCTGCTATTATCTGGAAAACACTGATGAAGAAACTGATCTAAAAAAAAAAAAAGACTCTTCCATAGAAAGGATTACTAAAATTAGCCAATCCTCAATAATTTAAACAAGGGGCAAACTGTACTCATTCCTTTATCTGGTCAGAAATGAAAGAAAATTGTAGATAGAATTCTATTTTCTCATTAATCCCTATTATAAAGTTGAGTACGGCATTCCTCAAAGCAATACATAAAATTTTGTATCAAGATATAATAAAATTATATTCAAGGACACAAACCTTAAGAAAAAAAACAATAGGAAGCAACCAGAGTCAAAATTACATAAGAAACAACAACAAAATCAACTTGAAATAGAACACATGGTGACACCGTGTAGGATGCTGGTCCTACAAGGAGGGGAGGCAGAGGTGAGAGGATGCCCTGCCCTTCATCTCCTACCACTGCAGGTCAGGACAGACAACCAAGGCAAGTGAGGTGGGTGGCTTCGTCTAGACCCCAGGAGCTTATGCAGCCCTGTGCAACCACAGGTGAGGCTTTCATGTGTGTACTACACTCTTGGTCATCTCCGTAATAGGAACACAAAGATCTGCAATTCTAAAATAGTTTTGGAAATGAGGCTGATTTTGAAATCTGCTTTTCCTACGCCATTCTTCTCTCCACCAGCCTTTCAGCAGTGACAATGGTGGATATCATTTTTAAAACAATGGTCCAGTTTTATTAACATGCTTCTTACCACTGAGGCCTCCAGCAAACCACTGAGGTGACTAAGATTTCCAGTTCTACTACCACCCTGCCATCTCACATCCATAAGCTGATCGTGGGCATTTCAAGTAGCTGACTCCTCTCAGACTTAAAAAATCTAATAAAGATGGGGACAATATTATATCCACTTAGGGAGCTTGATAAACCACCATACATGGGGAAGTGCTCAGCATACATTTACCAGTTAACCTGTAAGTTGTTGTGGGTTATTCAGAAGCTCTGGAAATGTCTATACAAGGACAGATTGTCTTCAGCTTTCTCCTACTGTGGTGCTTTTCGGCAAATTTACCTTTAGAATTTAATCTGAAATGTTCATGTGAAGCCACCTATATATTATTCTAATTTAATATAATTAAATTATATTTACGCCTTACAGGTAAATGCCCCATAAGGCTACCTACATATAATTTCTACGAGCAAGAGGTAATTAAGTCCGGTGGAAAGTATATTGGAGCCAAGAGAACTGGGTTCTTGGCAGCCCTACACAAGTCATTCACTCATGTCTCAGTTTCTCCATCTGCAAAATGGAAAAACGCCACCAGACCTGTATGAAGTAAAAACACTATGTATACCCTTCAATGGCCCATACAACAGGACTATTCTTCAAAGCAACAAGCTATTTCGAATGATTTCTAAGACACAGGCTGCACATTTCAATACACTTTTCAAATATGCAGACTAATTTAGACATTTCCAAGGAAATACTTATTTTGCCTCTCTGCTTTCTCTCATGGCATCTATTGTTACTAGCAGCTAAAGAAAACTAAAATCTAATGTCATTAACTGTAGACCCAGGTCCTCAGTACTCACTTAACGGGGGAGTGGGCAAGAGAGAGAGAGAGGCAAATAAAAAGGTAAATAAAATGATGATGAGAGGAGCTGAGAAGGACAGAGAAAATCAGATTAATGAACACAAACAGCAAGTCCATCTTTCATCTCTCCTGGCTCTGACTGACAGCAGACGGAGTATTTAATCTGCTGAGAGAACAGATTTAGGCCTCCCTTTGGCGTAGTCCATCCAAGGATTATTAACGTTTGCAGAAGCAATAGTACATCCGCTCAGAGCTATCAGAGAGGATAATGATGATGAACCAAGATGCGATGATGAATCCCCGCCCTTCCTGTTCCTCTGTCTCCCTCTCATCTTCATTCCCTTCTGGGCTCCGACTGCTTTTTTGAGCTACAGCCTCAGTATAAGAGTCAATACCTCCACGGTGAAAAAATAATCAATGACCAATTATAAGTCATGAGTTTTTAATAGATATGTTTTAACATACATTTTATTGACCACTGTGTCCTTGATGAAGCAAAGATTTAAAAACCAGGGTGGTTACAAATTCTCTATAGACTCAAACCCTTAAACACACTGCTCTGTAGGCTGAAAGATCAGGGTCCATCTATAGGTAGATTGAGTTTAATAATTGGCAGAGATGCTTAGAAAAGCAGGATTACCTACAGTGGACTTCTATAATCACCCTGGTGGACCTCAAAGGGGAGGGCTTGTTAAAACACAAGATTCTGGGCTCCACCTCCAGAGATTTGGATTCAGTAGGTCTGGGGTGGGCCTGAGAACATGCATTTCTAACAAGTTCCCAGGTGATGCCGATGCTGCTGATCTGGGCACCACACTGGAGAGTCGTGGACAGAGAGCTCCTTTTGGGTTGCCAAAATCATTCAGGGCATTAGAAAATGAAACACCTAGATGCTTAGAGGGCTCTGCAGTGTGTCTGCCACTCCAAAATCAGGCCATTCCAGTACTCTCTCCCTCCCCCACAAAAGAGAGGGATGAACAGTTAACAGTGAAGAACATATGAAGTCGGGGGCTAGATTAATTTATAACTTCATTCCTAAAACATGAGAAATGAAATCAAACATCCCCTTTTCCTTGGTCAGTTTCTTCTTCCTCATTTCCTCTACTTAGGCTTTAATGTATAATCAGTCCTCAAAAAATGAGTAAGTTAAAAAACAGCCTCACCCAAAATTCCAGTTTGCTTTATACTACAACAGAAAACTCCTACACACCCTCAATTTCAAGTTGAGTTAAGCATCAAAATATGATAGCAGAATATTAGGAGAATGTAGACAAGGGCCCAAAGTAAGGAAATGCATTTCAGAGTACCCATTAAAAGAGCTAACCATGAAGCAGGTCAACCAGATGGATAAACTAAATTCCACTTGTTTAGGTTTGTAAATGCAGAAAATACATGTAATAAGGGCACATAAGGAAGAGGCCCACCTCCAGCAGGAAGCAAGGCCAGCCTCCCACAGAACCATTCTCCCTGGGGCCCAGTTCAACCTCACACAGAGGCTGTGCTCACTCAGAGCAAGACAGCTGCGGTGGGTGCACGCTGGCTGCCAGGCTGCAGGACCGTTCTCTCAGCCATGATTTCGCAGCTCAAAGTTGCCTGAAATTAAAGAGGCACACTCCCATTAGCAATGGCTGCTCCAGATGTTGGCCAGTCTACAAGGCTAGGGGGAGAAGGGCAGAAAAAATCTGATGAAAAGGGCAGAAGGAAAGACAGAATGAAAGGAAGAAAAGAGAAAGAGAGAAGATAAAAAGATGGAAGGGAGGACGGCCGGAAGGAAGGAAACAGGAAAGGACGGAGGATGAGCTAGAAAGGAAAAAACTGGCACAAACAAAAACAAAACCCTCTCCGGCAATCTGCTCTAAACCCTGACAGTTTCGTCCACCTCAAGTTTCAAATACGACATTTGTTCCAGTCTGCCACTTAGCATTTGCTTGGTACCAATGACCTTTGCAGAGAGCATAAGCCAGGCTGCTAGGCCCTAGGTGACAAACCTCACGAAACCCTGAGCCCCTTCACATAAAGGGCATCTGTGAACTATGTCAGCAGAAGCAGCGAGCATTGGTAGCCCCTTTGGTTCCAAAGCATCTCAGATGGAAAAAGTGAGATCTGTCACCAATCAGTTTATAGTATTACTCTTCTAAGTAGCTTTTCACCCCTACAGTTGATTTAGTTAACCAGCAAATCTTTCTCATAGAAAGGAACGAACAGAAAGGTCACTTCAAAGAAAACAGCTAACCCTACCACCAGGCTCCACATCTGGAATCTACTACTCTGCGTCTGCTCAACCCATCACAGAACCACGTTTTCAAGGTGAGGGCAAACAGCAAGTAGGGAGAGGAATAAGGTGAGCATTCAAAAGACATGTCCAAGTTCTCCGCAGCTCCACAGATGGGTGGAGTTTAAGTCCGGAGACTTTCGTAACCACCACTCTCAGTGCTCTTCATTTTCAGACCTAATAGAGGTGGGAAGGCAGGACGCCGTGACGGCCGTCTATGCCACAGGCACATGAAGCCCAAGAGCGTACCAAGGGACACGGTGCTTCTCACGGCCCCAGCCGATCAGTGCCCCCCGTATACTCCCACACTGTAATGAACTCCCTTTTCCTCATCTACTCCTGATGTTTGGAAGGTATTTATTTCACTTACTGTGCTAGTACCAGTTCAACTTTCTCTCACTTCCTTAACTGACACCAGGATTTAAGACCTTGTGTTCTGGCATCTTGTCCAGAGCAAGAAGGCTATGCACCTGTCCCTGCTTATATAGTTCGTCAGGAAGGGCTCCATTCTCTCTTTTAGTCTATGGGGTGAGTTGTTCTTAACTTCTCGGGAAAGCGGACAGGATTGAAGACTAAGCCTTGTAAAATATTTCATACTTTAAAAATCACTTTTACCTTTTACTTGACTTACAAAAACCCAACCAAGTACAAAGGAAACCAGGCAACAGTGACATCAAGTGATCACCAGTAAGAGCTGGAACAGTTGCCTCCTCTATCTCCCAGCACAGGGTGCTGCCCATGATGCTTAAGAACTAGGACAAAAGTCTTGTCCATGTTGAACAGTGCATGATTGCTGTGTGGTGTCTAGAAGCACCTCACTTACCAAAGACTGACCTCTTCCTTGTTCCTTGGTAGTGATGGAGACTTCACTGGGCATGGAGACTTCCCTGGGTTTGCAGCCTCCAAGCCAGACATTTTGTCTGCCGCAAGGTCCAGAATTCCCCAAGACCTGCAGCAGCAGACATATCCAGACACTGGTGGGTAACCCGCCACCTGACGCTGGAGGCATTTCAGTGACAGCTTCAGTCCAGAGTTCCAGTGATCCCTCAGTGCTTCCTCCAGCTAGAAATGAGGAACAAACGGAGAATAACAGTTTGCATGATATTAAAACCAAGCCTTCAAATCCTCTGGATGCCTCCCAGATCCCCACAGAAGACCAAGACAATGCACTCCTCCCTTTACAAATCCCTGGTATTCACCAGCTCCTGGCCTGCATTCATCCCCTTGGCCAAGAGAGGCAGCCTGGTTCTGAAGACACTGACCTGGGAAACAACAGCCTGAGCCCTGAGGACCAAGGGACACTTGGAAATGAGGCTGAATCAAGCGGCGGTTCTGCTAACATTGCTGCCCTGGTGGAGGACAGTCACCTCCCTCAGCTCTTCAGCTCTTTGAAAGACCTCGATCAGTCCAAAGGTCCCGAGGTGGTCAAAGCCAAAGATATCAGAGCCATCGACTTAAACCAGCTGCAAGAAAGGTCACGTACCAAAAACGGGTCCTCTGGTCAAGCCAAGAAGACCAAACATAAGGCCTCTGAGCCTCTCAGTGCTGCTCCCAAGGCCAAAATCCAACCAAAGGACCCGGAGGGTCTCTTAGGGGAAGACGTGTGCATCTGCAATGTTGCAGATGGTGACAAGGCCCCTAACCGCAAATCTGCAAAAGCTGCATCAGGCGGGACCAGCAAAACTAGGAGCCGTGAACAGGAAAACACCAAAACAACCAGAAAAAGCAACTCCAAGAAAGCTGAAGAGGGTAAGCAGTCCGGGAGCAGAGCCAGGGCAGAGGAAAAGGCAACCATTCCCAGGATGAAGCGCAAGAAGAATCAACCTGAGCTCAGCCAAGAGAACTTTAAAAAACCTCAAAGCACGCTAGGCATGCACATGCTGGAGTCTGTGCAGGTTTTTCATGCGCTGGGGAAGAAGGAAACTGGATTCTCTTCTTCCCAGACCTTGGGAAATTCAAGGAACCCCAAAGACCCCCAGCCACCCCCGGCCACCAAACCATGCCTGAATACTCTACAACAGGGTAAAGGTCTTGAGAAAACTCATGCCAAAGCCCAGAAACCAGATGGCAGTGTCAAAAAAGAGTGTCCATCTCCATCCCAGGATGAACGGCCACCTCCTGGGAAGGTCACGTTGGTGCCTCTGCCTTTTCTGAGTGAGGACAAGCCTCAAGCTCATCGAGTTCCTCGAAGGCCACAGTCTCTGGCCTCACGCCGGCCAGCTCTGGCTTCCTCTACCCAGCCTGGATCTACGGACGCAGCTCAACCTACTGCAGTCGGTTCGTCCCGGCAAGCACGTGCACCTTTGACACATCCTGCCTGCTCGTCTCTGGGTCCAGTCTCGACCAACTCAACCCAACCACACCTGACCAACTCTACCCAGCCCAGGGTCACCCAGTCCGCTGCTGCTACACCTGTACCCTGCAGAGCATCATCTTGCACTCCTCTCCAGCAGGAGCCCATTCCCACTGCTGTGCCCCAGTGCCAGCCTCCACCCAAGCCTCAAACCCAGCTTCTACCCCAAGAATTCTGCTTCCAACCACGTCCATGGAGGAAACCTGATATTACTGGGCCAATAATGTCAAAGCCCATCACAGAAGAGCAGAGGCCAGAGCGGGAGGCTATGAAGAGGCGGGCTCAACGAGAGCAGGAGAATGCTGCCAAATACACCTTGGCGGGGAAAGTAGAGTTTTTCATCGAGAGGGAAAAGGAAATGGAAATTACTGACTACTATGGCTACGTAATGTAAGAGCTGATAGGATTGTTGGTGCCACTTTGGTCACCAGCTGTAGATAGACAGATAATAAGTTTCCACACATACATAGACAGATAGATAGATAGATAGATAGATAGATAGATAGATAGATAGATATGTAGATAGAAGCACAGATACATAGATAGATAATAGTTTCCACATGTAGATAGACAGATATGTTTCCACACATAGACAGATGTTTCCAGACATAGATAGATATGTTTCCACATGTAGACAGATATAAGTTTCCACATGTAGATAGATAGATAGATAGATAGATAGATAGATAAAAGTTTCTCTATTTATTCTGATAGATTTTAAAACAATAGATGTAATAGAACTAATAGATGAGTAACAAAGAAGCTTTTTGAGTTTTGATATGCTTTCAACTATGGTTTCTCTTTGGTGGGAGTGGGGATGAAAGACTGTACGAGAAAGACAGACCTGCAAGGCGGACGGCACGTCAGGGAAAAGGGATTAGAACTGGGGAGGGAGGAAGGAACTTGGCCCAGGGTCAGGAAGGACAAAGGGGGGAGAGAGGTTACAGGTTTATAAAAAGGAGCTTGCGTGCGGGACATGGCAGAAGTAAGAAGCACATCAAGGCTAAGGGTCAGGGTTAACCTTCGAATAGTTGAAGATATCAGGAGATGCGTCCAGGTTGACCAGGAGAAATGTAAAAAGTCTCTCATGAGGGCTGACATCATGTCTTATGATCACCAGGTAAGTATTTTAGAAAACAAGGGATTCAGGACACAACTCCAAAACATCGCTAATCATCGGGGAAGTGCAAATTAAAACCACAGTGATCTATCACTTCACACCAGTTAGGATGGCCAACATCCAAAAGACAAGCAACCACAAATGCTGGCGAGGAGGCGCAGGAAGTGGAACCCTCCTACACTGCTGGTGGGAATGTAAACTAGTTCAACCATTGTGGAAAGCAATATGGAGGTTCCTCAGAAAACTAAAAATAGAAACATCCACTTGACCCAGGAGTTCCACTCCTAAGAATTTACCCAAAGAAGACAAGTTCTCAGAATCAAAAAGACATATGCACACCAATGTTTACTGCAGCACTATTTACAATAGCCAAGATAATGCAAGCAACCTCAGTGTCTATCAGTAGATGAATGGATAAAGAAGATGTGGTACATATACACAACGGAATACTATTCAGCCATCAGAAAGAAACAAATCCTACCATTTGCAACAATACGGATGGATCTAGAGGGTATTACGCTCAGTGAAATAAGTCAAGCAGAGAAAGACAAATACCAAATGATTTCCCTCATTTGTGGAGTATAACAACGAAGCAAAACTGAAGGAACAAAACAGCACTGGACTCACAGACCACAAGAAGGGACTAGCGATTACCAAAGGGGAGGTGTGGGGAAGGGTAGGTGGTAGGGAGGAAGGAGGGGATTGAGGGGTATTATGATTAGTACACATGGTGTGGGGGGGATCATGGGGAAGACAGTGCAGCACAGAGAAGACAAGTAGTGACTCTGTGGCATCTTACCACACTGATGGAACTGCAATGGGGTATGGGTGGGGACTCAATAAAATGGGTGAATGTGCTATCCACATTGGTTTTCACTTTTTTCATTTTTTTCATTTTTTTATTAAGGTATCGTTGATATACACTCATAAGAGTGGAGTGTATATCAACAATACCTTAATTTAAAAATGTAAAAAAAATTAATTAAAAAGAAATTAAGTGAGGAAGTAGGTCGTACTTATATGAACTGCATTTCAGGGTACTAAAGGGGCATTACAAAGTATTTGCTACAAAAAAGGGAAAATGCACTGTGACAGGGTTGAACACCAGTGTTCTACACGGTGCATGTGGATTTCTGAAAGAATATTGCTTACCTTTTTCAAAGGAACTTTGACAGCGATGAAACGAGTCCCTGGCAGGTGCTGTCCAACTGGGATACAGTCTTTCCACCTGTTAATACATATTCTTGTTAGACAAATTGTAGGTCGGCCAGTCTCTCTGCATAGAATGAAGTCTCCTTGAACATGAAAAGCAGAACCCAAAAGTAGGTCCTCTCTTCTCCCTACTCTGCACTCTGCTGCTCCACTTACTCAACCCCACCTGGTAGCGATCTATACTCCCCCTCTGCCTGCTTCCCCACCTTGAAAACAGACAAGGCAGCAGAACAGTGCAAAGGGCTCCACAAATAAGACACATCTAAGACCACAGGTGGCCAGAACTCCTGCGTCCCCAATAAAATCTAGCCCAATCGTGAGCACTAAGGCGTCGTTAATACACACCTGTTGACTGAAACCGTTTACGTCCAATTCTTCCACTTTACACTTTAGTTTTAGTCCTAACACAACCGATGGCATCAAATGCAACCAGTAGTGAACTTCAAGTTCATATTTTAAAAGAAAACCTGATAAAAAAGGGGCCGTGAACTTCACTTAATAAGGCTAGGCGTGATAGTAAAAAGGTAGATTTATACAGAATCAAGTAAGGTTAGTTCAGCATTCCTGAAGTATAGAAAGTGAGGGCAAAAGTTGACGCAAGATGGGGCTGGGCAAAGAGGGGATTCTAGACCACGCAGAGTCATAAAGACCACGGAAAAGAGATGGTTTTTATTCTTAAAGCACTGTTTTTGTGCGATATTTAGGAGAACTTTCCAGGTTGCCTATTTAAAAAATGTCCCATGTGAAGAAAGGACTGGAAGGAAACAGGGATCGAAAAATATATACACTAATCAGGACCTAGAAGCAATAGATCAGGCAAGTTCTGTATTAGGATTCTGACGGAGTGGAGAGGACAGATTCAAAAGATACTCAGGACATAAAACGAAGGGGACTTGGTGGGGTGTGACATGGAGGAAAGCAAGGTCTCAAGGAAGAAGAGTTCACTGAACATAAAAGCAAAGCCTCAAAATTAATCATTGGAATAGACGGAGGCCGATTTCTCAAATGAGACCGGTTAGAAAGCAACAGGATGCCCTTGGCCATTCCTGGGAACAGCACACAATTTTTCGGTGAAAAGTTTGGTTGTACTGGTGGGTTTTTTCATTCAACCTTTGCTCTTCTTACTCCTTTTTTCTGTGCAAAAATAGCACAGCTTGAGGAATGCGGGGGACCCCATTTTGGTAAGTAAGGGGTGTCCCCAACACTCACAGGCCCATCTTAAAGGGCGGTCCCTCTCTATTTCACCCGGGGAACCATGGCCCGCGCCTCGCTTCTCCAAGGATGGGGAGAAATCAAAAACACCAGGCTGTCCACGTCACCTCCTGCGAGCGGAGCAGCGAAAGCGTCACAGCCTCCCGGGAAGAGGCGGGCGGGCCACGCGCGGCGGCAACGCTCAGGCAGCGACCGAGGCGCAGGAGCTGCGGGCGGGACGGGCCCGCACCGGGCCGAGGCTGCTTACCTTTCGGGGGCGTGGCCTGCACCCTTTGCCTCTTGCCGGAGGGCCGTCCGGAGAAGACGCGTCTCTGGCCCCAGCGGTGGCGGGCACGATGCCGTCGGCTCCTCTGCGCCCCAAGGTGCCGCCCACGCAACGCCAAGAGCGACAGAGCCGCCGGGCCGGCGCCCTCGGCGACAACTGGATTTCCCACGGGAAGACTTCACGCCGCAGCGCCTCGGCTCCTGCTGCTGCGCAGGCGGCACCGCCCGCGGGGCTGTCGTCCCCGCGCCGGCCGACGGGATTCCGGCGGCCACAGCGCCCTCCTCAGCCGGCGGTGGGTAGCGCAGGGCGATGAGCCTGCAAACCCCTCAGGATCCAAAGAGCATACGGGTCACGGAAGGAATCAAAGAGAAATCCGGCCCCTCCGTTTCCTCACGCGGTTCTTCGGGCAGTTTTCAAGAGCCTACACTCTCTTTCGCTGTACATGTATTTTTTTCTTTTTAAGCTGCCAACTGATTTTTTTTTTTTTGGCTTTTTTTTGTATCATTGATTGCATGTGTATTCAAATACATAAGTACCTACTTGTACATACATGCGTGTCCTCTATTTTATATAAAAGCACCCCACTAGATACATATATTCTTCAATCGATCTTACATGCTGATTTTCCTGGTCAATTTATGCAAACAGCCTTTCTATTCTTTTTTATGGCTGCAAAGTACTCCACTGATCATAAGTACCACCATTTACATAATCTGCCCAATACTGATTAACTTTCAGTTGTTTTCAATTTTCTGTCCCCCTTAAAGACAGGCTGCAATGTGAACATCCCTACACATGTATATACTTATAACTAAATTCCTAGTACAATAGCTGGAATGAAGGATATGCACACTTAAAATTTTACGAGATACGGCCTAACTACTCTCCAAAATTATTGTATCAACCTACCTTCCCACTCCTAGTGAAACCTCTTTTGGGTTCCTGTCATGTGCCAGGTGTCACGCTAGAGGTGGACAAGTATGTATTTACATTTTAGAAAGTATCAAGAAATGACAGAGTGGTCAGAATGAAGCTTGAGTCTGAAATCTGCACACAGTAGCAGGCATAAGGATCTGTACTTGTTAGAAAAACTCTGAATTCTGCCACAGCGGGACACACAGTACGTCTGAAGGCAGAGTAGAGTACTAAATGTCAGATTAAACTATAGGAAATTACAATACTGAATTTTTTTTCTAATTTCTGAAAGCACCTTATTACATACACTGTTACTGTTCTTTGCAATCACTTAGAGCTGGGAAAACAGTCAGAGAAGTCAGGGTTATTAATGAATGAGTGAATCAATGAATGGGTAAAAAGACGACTATTTAAATCCACAAGCATTTACAATTTTAATTATAATAATTAAAAGGGGTCAATGTTAGTAAATGGCTATTTGGAAAAGGAAGAGACATAAGTTAGCCTAGCATGGTTTGCAAAGTTACGATTAGGCAATTCAAATTTGGTGCTAAATACTCTTTCAGAATTCATGAAAAAATACCCTTTTAAAATAAAATCATAACATACTAGAATTCACGAAAAAGATAACCAATAGGCATGTAGAGCCAAAAAGAACAAATGGTACAAATATCTACAGACAGGACAATATACAAGCTGTGACACAAATCTATCAGAAACCGGAAAAACTGTATTGATCCTGCACTTGCAGTTTGCTAAAAGACAAAGCTTGAAGTAGAAACAAACTCAGTTACAGCTGACACAAGAAAATCCAGACTGAGGCGTAACCGGGTTTCCAGAAAGGATGCGAACTAACAAAGACTGGGTCTTTGGATGGGACTGCCTTCAACATGAGGTAAAACAACGCCTTAATAGGTATGCAGTGGAACGGAAAATATAGGAATGAGGGATATCTGGAGCACTGAACAACCAGATAATTGACACTAACAAAATCTACTGGTATCTGGCAGGGCCCCTCAGGTACCAAACCCCAGGGGTTTAAGGGATTCCAGTCTTTAATCAAATCAAAAAGTGACAATGGAGAGAGTAAGGAAGAGCGTCAGGGGTGGATGGACTTGTTACGTTATACTACCAAGACACACCCCGTTATCCCAAAGAGTACGAAACACAGGAGGTGGGCCTCTGGGACAAGGCAATACGTAACAGTAAAAATAAGTCTTTAGGTCAGGGTAGGGCTTAATGCTAAGTCAGAGGCCAGAGCAGAAGGCTGTGAAGAGTTGGGCTCAGTAAGAACATGCGAATGCTGCCAAATACACCTTTTCGGGTAAAGTAAAGTTTATCATTGAGAGGGAAAAGGAAATGGAAATGGCTGACAACTCTGGCTACATAATGTAAGAGCTCATATTAGTGTTGTTGCCACTTTGGTTACCAGCTGTAGATAGATAGATATGTTTCCACACATACATAGATATAAGTATCCATACGTAGAGAGATACACATAAGATTCCACACGTAGTCAGATAGATATGTTTCCACATGTACATAGATAGATACAAGTTTCTCTATTTATTCTGAAAGATTTTAAGGCAATAAATGTAATAGAATTAATAGATGAGTAACAAAGAAGCCTTTTGAGTTTTGATGTGCTTTCAACTGTGGTTTCTCTTTAGTGGGAGTGGGAATGAAAGCCTGTATGAGAAAAACAGACCTGCAAGCTGGACGGCATGTCAGGGAAAAGGGATAAGACCTGGGGAGGGAGGAAGGAACTCGGCCCAGGGTCGGGAAGGCCAAAGCGCGGAGAGAGGTTACAGGTTTATAAAAAGGAGCTGGTGTGCGGGAAATGGCAGAAGTCAGAAGCACATCAGGGCTAAGAATCAGAGTTAACCTTTGAATAGTTGAAGATGTCAGGATATGTGTCTAGGTTAACCAGGAGAAATGTAAAAAGTCTCTCATGAGGGCTGACATCATGTCTCATGACCACCAGGTAAGTATTTTAGTAAACAAGGGATTCAGGACACAACTCCAAAACTTTGGGCTGCCTAATCCATGTATGATTATGGCCAGGAGAGGTGAGTACAAATCATAGGGGAGTCTGCTAGATGAATGACAGGGGCTCAGAGCTATCCTGGGGGCAGCTGATAACAGGGGCTGAGCCCCATGAACTGCTACAGCAGGAGGCCTACCCAGAGCAGGGCCTGGGATTTAATCACCATTTACTCAACACCTGCGGACCAGGACCAAGACCACACTACTGTCTGTGTCACTGTGCCACTTCACTAGTGAGGTTCAGCAATGGACTGAGTTCACATTGCATGGGGAGTGCAAGGCCTTAATTTGAGGCCTATATGCCTCCAAAGTCCTTGGCATTTCATGGGCCCTTACGCAGCCAACCTGGCTTTCAGAGCACAGCACCCGGAGCTTCATGGCGGACCAGATGAAACTTCGGGATGAGCCTAAATGTTGACTTGACAGGAATGTTCCTCCTCTCCACCCTAGTGCATGCAGTCTTCTCTAAACCTAAGCTCACAAGAAATATCTCCCTGGAAGCATCCACTTCTTTCAGGTGTGAGCGATGGGAGTGTGTGCGTGCTGGGTTCCCCTGCCACCAACTGGAGGCCCAAAGCTCAGGATGGTCCAGAGGTGGCTACTTAGGGAGGGTGCGGGACTAGACAGGAAAGGGAATGGAGTGGGGAGAGGGGGAGAGGAGAACAGCAGGTAATCACCCTGGGAAAATCGGTAATTTACATTATAAAAGTTATTGAGATATAATTCACATAACATAAAATTCACCTCTAGAGACTTTAGTAAAATCAGTGGCATTCAGCACATTCACAAGCTTGTGCAACCGTCATCATTATCTAGCCCATAGCATTTTCATCTTTCCCCAAAGAACCCCTCTTATACATTAGCAGGCACTCCTCATTCCCTCCTCTCTACACCCTGGCAGTCTCTACTCTGTTTTCTCTGTGTGGATTTGCTTGTATGGACATTTCATATATATGAAACAATACAGTATGTGACTTTTGTGTCTGGCTTCTTTCATTAGCCTCATGTTTTCAAAATTCATCCATGTTGTACCATATGTCAGTAGTTCATTCCTTTTTATGACTGTATAATACCCTATTGTGAGGCTCTACCATGTTTGTTTATCCATTCATCTGCCAATGGACATTTGGGTTGTCTCCACTAGTAAATACATTTATTGAGAGTTTATGCTGTGCCAGGCAACACCAGGCTAAGTTATTCACCCCATTTCACAGATAAGGAGATAAGCCTGGAGAGCGTGGAGGATTTGCCCAAGTTTGAACTGGTAACGGAAGGAGCTGGGGTTTGAACCCAGGCATCAGACTTGAGAGGTAGTAGATTCGTGTGATAGAGCATTAGAAAGTTACAAAAGGGAATCAATGGAAAGTCACCCTTTTCCCCAAGTTCCTCAGCCACCTATTTCCCTGCTTCCTTAGAGAGACATCGACTTTTCCCACACTGCGGATCCTTCCTGTGAAACTATTTATACCCTAATGTGTGTGCATCACAACTTACTGATTGACTCACGGTCCCACTGATTTGAAATGTCACTTTATGGTATACTGAATTCTTGCATGTATTTGCATTACTCTTTTCAGAATTGTCCTTTTTTTGTCAATCCTTTTAGATTGCCATTTCCCTAAAAGCCTTTTTATCTTTTTTATTTTTAAACATTTCCTTCCTTTCTTGTTTGTTTTTCTCAGGTGTTATCCATTATGTTCATCCATTCTTGCATTATTTTTAATTTAGCCTTCAATTCTGAAAATTTTTGAAATGCTTCAATTCAGTCCTTAGTTCTATCATCTTGTCTAATTCTGATTTATCTTCTTTTTTCATTTTTTTTTATTATGGCAAAATCTACGTAATCATTTTAAAGTGTACAATAGTGGCATTAAGTACTGTCACAAGATTGTGCTACCATCACCACTGTCCAAATTTAAAATGATTATGTCAAAAGATGGAGCAGGACTGCAGAAAGATGGGAGGCAGCAGCATAGTTTTTGGATCACTCCAAACCCTCTCATGGACATAGGTCGAGCAATACCAAACATTCATGGGTAGCAGTTATTATTTCCAGAATTTCTTTATCATCTCAAACAGGAACTCTGTGCCCATTAAATTAAAAAAAAAATTTTTTTTAAGTAAGAAAACATGGTGGCTTGCTTTCTGAGGTTTCCTGGCTCTGCTCTCCTCCCCAGCTCTCATCAAGACATTTCCCTTTGTGTCAGGTGTTCCTCCGAGAAGCTTCTCCTCTGTGTAGGCCACAGCCTGGAAAGGAGCTCTGGCCGCTCAGGTTCCAGATGTAGAGGGGCTGGACTACTCCAGCTCTGTGGACTCTGTCCCAGGTCCCTTGGACTTAACTCACTCTGCCATTGGGGAAACCTCCCCTAGTCTCTGCTGCTGTTCTCAAATTGGCCCACAGAGCTTCCCAGTGGCTACCTGCTGGCACTTTGTAGGCCTCCTGGCCTCATGCCCATCCTCCCGCCTGCCACTTCTTCTGGAGCAGACACCGAGGCTCCAGGTAGGTCTGTGGCCGGTGGTGGTGGTCAGCCCCACCCTCATGTTTGGGATTCCTGATTTCACGGTAAGTGCTGCCCATGGGTGTTGGGTTTTGGTCGATCTATTTCCATGGGATGGTTTGGGGAGATTCAAAACCTGTGCCCCTGATTCCATCCTTCCGGAATTCCACTGCATCATTTGATGTACTTATTTCACCCTGGAGGCCCTGTGATTTCCAGTCCCCCAAAGCAGAGCTCCTTGTGCCGTCTCCTGTTAGGACTCTGGGTCAGATGAGGCTTTCTGAGTCTCCTCTGTCTTACATGGCACCTCATGTCTGCATTTGCTCAGTCCATGTTGTGAAGAAGTCAAAACAAAACAACATAACTAGCTCAAGAGTGGAGGGACATCTGGCCACCACAAGGGGTGGAATAAACCTGTGGGGAGTCTGGAAAAGACTGTCTTTGCCCTCCCTTTTCTCTTTCTCCTTGTATCTACTTTCCTAAACATGTACAATATGGAATCTCCAATCTGTCCTTCTTCCCAGCAAAAAACCTGGTCCGTGTTCAGTTTTCTTCATGTCACTTCATGGTAATCTATTTCTTAAATTGCTCAGGCCACAAACATTTAAAGTCATTTGACTCCTCTCTCTCCCTCCCAACCACACATCCAAAACATCAGCAAATTCCATCTGCCTGACCTTCCAATTATTCCCAGAACTTTCCCACATCCAATCATGTTGCTCCCCATCCTCTCTAGTTCACGCCCCCATCATTTTCTACCTGAACTACTGGGAGAGCCTCCTACCTCAGATGTTCCCCAACTTTCTAGATTCACAGAGCCTTTGGTGTCTCACCTCTAGGCTAAAAGAAATACTTCATAATTCCATTTATTAAGTAGTTAGCTGCCAACAAGCTAACAAGTATTTATGCTTGTAGTAGGCTGGGTAATGGCCACCCGAAGAGATCAGGTCCTAATCTCTGAAACCTGTAATATCACTACCTTATTTAGAAAAGGGGTTTTTGCATCTTGATTAAATTAAGGATCTTGAGATGGGGAAGCTATCCTGGATTATTAGGATGACCCCTAAATGCAACCACGTGTCCTTATGAAATGGAGGCGGAAGTAAATCTGATACAGACAGAAAGGAGAAGGCAATGTGAACGTGTAGGCAAAGACTGGAGTGTTGTAGTCACCGGACAAGCAATGCCAGCAGCCACCAGAACCTAGAAGAGGCAAAGAATGAACTCTCCCCGGAGAGCCTGTGGAGGGAGTGCAGCCCTGACCCCGAGGACCCCTTAATTTTGTCCCACTGATACTGATTTCCGACTTCCGGCCTCCAGAAGGGTACAGAGTAATTTCTGCTTTTTTAAGTCACCGAGGTGTGGAGATTTGTTAGAGCAGCCACAGGAAACATGCTCCAATAACACAGTACATTATAACAACAACTAAGTAGACATTTGAGAAATAATAATATAAAAGAAAAAATATTTTTATTTCACTCTTAACCCAAATTACCTTGCTAATGGAAAGTGTGTGACTATTGGGCACTGTACAACTTTCCAAACTTTATAATTAAATTGAACTGTCAGCTTCATTTCCTGCTCCACGTTGATTTTCAAACAGTACTTGCTTTCTGTTACAGCTACTGCCAAAAACCCGCTTCACAAAAAAATGACAGCACTGAAAGGACAATAGCATGATTTTATGTTCAGTCTTAAACTACTGAACCAGCTAGAAGCTCACATGGTATCTGACAGATGGCAAGTATTGTGTGAACCATTCAAGATTTTGAAGTATCCTGTTGTATTCACCCTGGTGAATTTTCTGGGGTGTCCTGGGGGCCTCCCCAATGTATACCCTGTGAACTACAGTCTTAACTGGCTTCCCTTTTCCCACCCTTGCCTCTCTAAAACTTGTCACATAGCCACCATAGGGATCCATTCAAAACGTGAGGCAGATTCTGTTCTGCTTAAATCCTTCCATGGCTCCTCATTTTCTGAGTCAAATAGAGTGGGCATCCCAGGGAGAGGGCAAAACTGTGGAAAGGTCTTGAGTGGAGCAGCAGATGTTCAGACAGTGTGGCTAGAGAGGAGCAAGCAGGAGGAGAGGGGGTTTAAGGTCACAGAGACAACAGGGACCAAGTCACACTGGAAGCCAGAGTGAGGACTTTTGAATTTTTAATTCCAAGTGCCATGGGAAGCAATTGGGGCTTGTAAACATTCCCATTTTACACCCTCCAGTCAATTCTGTTAGAGCAATAGAACCTATTTTTGTTTAAAAAAATATATGAGCTGTTGTAAGAATGCATTAAGAATGGATGTCGTTCCTGTACTTTGATTGCCTCTCCAGGTGTGGCACTCGTCACAGGGGTAATAGTAGGCAAGAAACATCCACCTTGAGTCATTCCTGTTTTTTGCTTTCCCAGAAATCTCATCTGGGCTTATTTGCTATACCCAGATATTATATATCAAGGTGATAATTTTGTTTCCTAGGAGTCCCTTGCTGCTCTCCAGGAATGATCAGGCAGGAATAAGCACTCACGAGCACGGGAGTAACACTGAAGTATGCGAGAGGTCATATGGAGACTGTTATGTTCAGGGAAAGTGTTCACAGCTAGGTCTGGGCACCAGAAGGAAGGGGAACCTCCATTCCTAGACTGGCAATTGCCTATCAGGTGAGCTGCTGAAGCCTATTTGCTGACAGAATACCTTCCATGTTTAGCCTTAATTTCCTGGTTGCATGTACAAAATTGTCCTGTTTTCAACTTTCTAATTAATCAGGAAGGAAGTGAAGAATGTCAGATGGTCACCTAGGCCAGGTTGTTCTGGCTTGTTTCTGGTCCCTATGAAGCCAAGACCGCTGATCACTTTTCCAAAAGACCAAAAACTCTGTTCAGTATTTACAAACTTCCTCCGTAAAAGGACCCGGTCCTGCTTCCTGTGCCTTCTTAATCATTATCTTGAGAACTGCCAGCACCTGGGCCTACATGTTTCCCAGTCATAGCATTGTAAAGCCTTCTTATCACAGTCTTAACATCTAGCATGTTTGCACACTGTTAATTTGTTAAGTTTAACATGATTTTAAAAAGAGCTAGTTTTTGGAGACAGTATGCAATGGAAGCAGATGCCCCTGTTCCCCACCCTACCAGCTCTGCTTTTGCCTGTATTTCTGCAATAAAAGTTTCTACCTGCTGGATTTTTTCACTGCTGCCTGAAAAGCTAATGACACAGAATCAGTTCAGGGAGATTCAAGAAAAATATACACAGCAGGGAGTGGGAGAAAGTAGAGATCTGAACACTGGCCCGAGGGAGGAGGTTAACACCCGTGCAGGGAATTTAAGCTGAACTGTGCAGGACAGGCCATGTCACCACATTAACAAACACACAGAGAGGCTTCCAAAACTTGGGTTGAAAAGTATCCCCAGAAAGTTTAACTTTTAAACCAAAGCATAAACGTTCAGAGTGGTTATATACAAAGTCTCCGGAGACAGAATGATTAGCGGTCTTGAAGGACCATTTTGGAAAGAAGCTGTGCACACATTCGTGCATACACACATTCACACGCAGAAAGTGCCACTGTTTGAATTTGCTGTAAATAACCGTCTAAGAGGCAGGGATTCTGTCAAACAGATCTTTGTGTGCCCGTTTCCTCTCAGTGCACCTTAATGAGAAAACACTCATTTTCACTGTTTGATTAGTGTTCAGATATGAAAAATTGTCTTAAATTCTCTTCTAGGCAATAAAAGGGTTTGTTAAATGCCTCAGGCCACCAAGTTTGTGTAGAGAGTAACACAAACAAGTGGAAATTTTCATTAGTTTTCCTTCACCCGATTTAGAAACCCTGGCTAGTTGAGGCAGGACTCGGGTCAGCAATCCCTCCTTGAACCCTGGATTTGTGTGAGCGTGGCAGAGAGGCATCTAGCAGGAACCCCTACCCCAATCAAAAGTATTTTAAAACGGAAAGTTTAACGGCTCGAGTATCAGTCCGTCTAACGGTCCGGTTCCCCCGCTACCGCCTCGATCTAACTGGACCCAAACGGCCGCCAGCGCGCTCGCTCCTCGGAGGTCGGACTTTCCTCAGGCGGCGGTTCTACCCTCTGGGTCCTAAATTCTCCCGAGAGCAGGCTTAAGTCCGCAGGCGGGGGAGGGGAGGGGCGGGGCGGGCGCCGGATGTGACGTTTCCGGAAGCTCAGAGTGTCGTCCGCCGGGACTGGTGGGGAGGTGTCCTGGGATTTGGCGGCGGCTGGCGCCGAGCGTGGACCGAGTGTGGAGGCGAGCGGCCGCCGTGAGTGTGGGCCTGCGGCCTTCGCCTGCCGCGCGCCCCCTGCCCGGGCCGCCGTGCGCGAAGCTCCTCGCGGCTCCCGTCCCCAGCCGGGTCCAGCGCGTCCCCGCCTGCCGCGCCCGAAAGTTCCGAAAACCTTGAAAGTTTTTGCCCTGGAAAGCAAACTCCCTGACTGCTTTCGGAAAGGGAGGCCCAAGCAGTTGTCAGGCGGCCCCTCTCGACAGTATACGCCCCCTCCGGTGGCCCCCTGCCCCCTTCAGGCCTTTAGGCCACCTTCCTCCCGTATCTGCGGACGCTGCATCTCCTCTTAGGGATGTTGCCCAGCCCTGTAGTACCAGGCGCCGCCCTGGCCTCGTTAGGGGATTCCATTCTCCTCCAAAAATATCCTCTCCCGAGAGGTAGTGACCACCCTCTGCTTTAGTTTGCTTTGATGGGCTCTGGGCTGTTTACTAAATAAGGCATGTTGGGGACGTTTTAGATTTGCTAGCGGCTTTCTGAGCCCCTAAAAAGGCTTGGTGGGAGATGGGATGCCTCTGTGTCTGTCCCTCGTCGTCTCTACAGCTTTTTGTACTATTGGTGGGTGTTTTAGAGAGCGAGTTTGATGCAAGAAGCGTGATCTAGGGATAGAACTGGCCGAGGGAAGACTATCTCTGAGGGACGGTTAGAGTGGAACAGAGAAACTGGATAGACTAGTGATTGGTGAGGATTTCTGGGCAGATCAGAATCCTGACTGAAGTAGATTTTTGGGAAGAAGGAAGGCTTAAGACTGAAAAGATAAAATGAGGCCTGTTGAGCTAGGACCTTGAATTCCAAGGTGAATTCAATAGCTTGTATATTTTTGAGCATGCGAAATACTAGGGTGTGTTGTATTTCGATGTGTATCAAATATCCAGATTCTTTTTAGAAATGGTGTAGAGTTATATCTGATTAGAGTTTGGAATCTGATTCTAAGCAAGAATATGTAGAAAAATTGTAGAATTACTGCAGCTTGAGACCCAGGGAGGGAAACCCCCAGGTTTTTTGTTGGTTTGCCTTTGGCATTGCAAGTTACTTTCGTGCCCTTTTGTTATTCAAAGAGTGCTCAGTGAAGATAGATTTGAATAAATTGTTTTCAAGATCTAAATTCCTTGCCCTGATATGAATATAATGTTATAGATTGGCTGGAATAGTGGTTTAGTGAGCAGAGTTAGAATTATGAGCATTCATTCCCAGACCAGTTCCTTTAACTTGTTCTCAAATATGAAAAAAGTACACCATAGAAAAATGTCAGTTGCCCTCACGTTAAATACCAGTGATCAAATACCAGTCATCAGTTAGCAATTACAATGAAAGTTCATTGAGTATACTCTGCCATGGAGTAGATTGAAGTGGGTATCCGAGAAGAGAAATCATGCAAAATTTTAAGATACTGTCCTTCCTTTTATGGTGCTGATGGCAGGGCCACCTAATGGTAGGGAATGATAAGCATGCAAAGTAGATGTAAATTATATTCCTTGTACCCCCTACTTCTGGCGCAGGGATTGTGAGTTTTTGAGTAGGCCTGATCACCATTGTGATCAGGGCTTCTGTGAGGGTCTCAGCCTTTTCATGGGAAAGAAACCTCATTTGATACGAGCTTTATGATATGGCATTTTTCTCTTAATTTCTTTGTCATGTAGAGGTTTGTGGGATGAACACCCTGTGTGCTAGGCTGTGCTGGCCAGTGGGGCCATAGTTGATGCCGCCTGTTTTTTTTCTTTTCTGCTCAGAATTTGGTCTTGATGTTTGACCGTGGAGATGTGAACTGAGCCTTCCTGAGCCTTCCTACCGAAGACCAGGTGAGGGCTCTCTCCCAGATGGGCAACCCAGTGGAAATAAATGAAGACATTCCACCCCAATCGGTACTTTCGCTCTGGAGTCGAGGTGATCAGAATGGCCTCCATTTACTCTGAGGAAGGCAACACTGAACATGCCTTCATCCTTTTTAACAAGCACATCATGTAAGACACCTCCAGTTTACTTTTTCTTTTCTGGTGACTGATGCCTCACTCATTCTGCTCTTATGCTGCTTTATTCTGCTCAGAATTGCTAAAACTGGGGAACTTGACACCATCATTAGCATTTATCATTTTTCCTGGTAACTCCTACATACTGGCTGTCCTTGACATTCAAACACATAAGTACCAAAAGTATTATCATGACTCAATAATTTCATGAGTAAGAGGCCTAGCTCTTTGACCTGTGCACACGTAGCCCAGCTGTTAGGCAAGAGAGTTGGTGGTTAAATTATACAGGTTTTGTTTTGATTAATGTTTTTCTCTCTTAAGGCAGCCTGTCATAGGATTATTATTAAGATTAGCAGAGCCAAGATTCCTTACCTTTGCTTATTTTATAGCAGATTGAGTGATTCAGGAAAAAGTTTTTTCTTCTTAACCTTTATCGTAATCATGCAAATCATCAAATAAGTATTGACCACCTACAGATTGTGTGGCTTATCGTAAGACCTTCCCCTGAGTTACTTAGATCTTAGGTAGGCAGCATAAATAGAAGATTTCATGCAGTTGTTAGGCAACAACTCCTAAAGCCGCAGTGATAATGAAATGATGTGTAATTTAGGAAGGGAATAATGTTAAAGTGTCTCATTTACATTTTTAGTCTTATTCTTTCATAATACTAGGTCCTTCTTAAAAAAATAATAGTGTTTTGCATAGTTTTTAATAGTTCATAGAGTATTTCACCTCCTTTACTTCATTTGGTCTTCACAGTTCGGTGTGCTCTGAGTTGGGCGCATTATCCTCAGGAACCATTCTCTGGGTTTGGTGACATGCTTTGTTCCACAGTTTCGAGTAATAAAACTTGGATTTTCCAGCTCTTCCTTCAGGATTCACTCGACATTATAGGCCACATTCTTTTTGTTTTACGTTTGGTAATTCTCTGTGAGCTGAACGTAGTCTTTTGAGATAATAGTCTAGAGCCACACTGACCACTTTTTCATTATTTTTTAATTTTTTGAAAAGGTGACATGTACATATACAAAATTCAGAAAGCACAAAAGGGTGTGTGTATATATATATTTTATATATATATAAAATCAAAGTCTCCCTACTGCTCCTCTTTTCCCCCAAACCCTCACTTCCACTGCCCAGAGACAATCACCCTTAGTTTCTTATATGTCCTCCCAGAGATGGTATATGCTTAGCAATTATATCACATTAGACTTTTTGATCTCATACTACTCAAAGGGTTTGTCAGTATTATTGAGATTTGGGGTGGAATAATTCTTTGCTGTGGGGACTGTCCTGTGTGCTATAGGGTGTTTAGCAGTGTCCCTGGTCTGTACCCACTAGATGCCAGTAGCCCCTCTTCCCCCACTGTAACAACCAAAAATGTCTCCAGACATGACCTCATGGATTCTGAGGGGCAAAACTGCCCTAGTTGAGAACCAGTGCCCTAAAGAACAGGAGGCGCAAGAAAGGGACTGCTGTTCTCATTTATTTTTATTATTATTTTTTTTATAAAAAAATTTAAGAGTTGTTTATTAGGACTGTCATTAAAAAGTGAAAGACTATATTCCACAGAGGGAATGATGTTGTTTATTTATTTTATTAAGTATCATTGATATACAATCACATGAGCAACATTGTGGTTACTAGACTCCCCCCATAACGGTCACTGTCCATCAGCATAGTAAGATGCTATGGAGTCAGTACTTGTCTTCTCTGTGCGTCAGTTCTTTCCATGTGGCCCCCCCTACATTATGTGTGCTAATCATAAAGCACCTTAATCCCCTTATCCCTCCCTTCCCATCCACCCTTCCCAGTCCCTTTCCCTTTGGTAACTCTTGGTCCACTCTTAGGTTCTGTGAGTCTGCTGCTGTTTTGTTCCTTCAGTTTTTGCTTTGTTCTTACACTCCACAGATGAGTGATATCATTTGGTACTTGTCTTTCTCCACCTGGCTTATTTCGCTGAGCATAATACCCTCTAGCTCCATCCATGTTGCTGTAAATGGTAGCATTTGTTTTCTTCTTATGACTGAATTGTGTATATGTACCACATCTTCTTTATCCATTCATGTACTGATGGACACTTAGGTCGCTTCCATTTCTTGGCTATTGTAAATAGTGCTGCGATCAGCATAGGGATGTATATGTCTTTTTGAATCTGGGATCCTGTATTCTTAGGGTAAATTCCTAGGAGTGGAATTCCTGGGTCAAATGGAATTTCTATTAGTTTTTTGAGGAACCTCTATACTGATTTCCACAATGGTTGAACTAATTTACATTCCCACCAGCAGTGTAAGAGGGTTCAGCTTTCTCCACATCCTTGCCAGAATTTGTTGTTGTTTGTCTTTTGGATCTTGGCCATCCTAACTGGTGTGAAGTGATATCTCATTGTGGTTTTAATTTGCATTTGTCTGATGATTAGCAAAGTGGAGCATCTTTTCATGTGCCTGTTGGCCGTCTGAATTTCTTCTTTGGAGGAGTGTCTGTTCAGAAGCTTTTTAGTTAGATATATTCCCACTTGTTCATTTTTGCTTTTGTTTCCCTTACCCGGGGAGATATGTTCATGAAAAAGTTGCTCATGTTTATATTCAAGAGAGTTTTGCCTATGTTTTTTCATAAGAGTTTTATGTTTTCATGACTTAAATTCAGGTCTTTAATCCATTTTGAGTTTACTTTTGTGTATGGAGTTAGGCAGTAATCCAGTTTTATTATCTTACCTGTAACTGTCCAATTTTGCCAACACTAGTTGTTGAAGAGGCTGTCATTTCCTGATTCTATATCCATGGCTCCTTTATTGTATATTAATTGACCATATATACTTTGTTTTATAACTGGGCTCTCTAGTCTGTTCCATTGGTCTGTGGGTCTGTTCTTCTGCCAGTAGCAAACTGTCTTCATTAATGTGGCTTTGTTATAGAGTTTGAAGTTGGGGAGCGTAATCCCCCTGCTTTATTTTTCCTTCTCTGGATTGTTTTGGCTCTTGGGGTCTTTTGTGGTTGCATATGAATTTTAGAACTCTTTGCTCTAGTTCGTTGAAGAATGCTATTGGTATTTTGATAGGAATTGCATTGCATCTGTAGATTGCTTTAGGCAGGATGACCATTTTGAAAATATTAATTCTCCTTCTCCTTGAGCATGGGATGCATTTCCATTTACTGGTATCTTCTTTAATTTCTCTCATGAGTGTCTTGTAGTTTTCAGTTATAGGTCTTTTACTTCCTTGGTTAGGTTTATTCCTAGGTATTTTATTCTTCTTGATGCAATTGTGAATGGAATTGTTTTCCTGATTTCTCTTTCTGCTAGTTCATCGTTAGTGTATAGAAATTCCACAGATTTCTGCTTATTAATTTTGTATCCTGCAACTTTGCTGTATTCAGTTATTAGTTCTAGTAGTTTTGGTGTGGGTTCTTCAGGGTTTTCTATATACAATATCTTGTCATCTGCAAACAGTGACAGTTTAACATCTTACTTACCAATCTGGATGCCTTTTATTTCTTCGTGTTGTCTGATTGCCGTGGCTAGGAGCTCCAGAACTATGTTAAATAAAAGTGTGGAGAGTGGACATCCTTGTGTTGTTCCTGATCTTAAAGGAAAAGCTTTCAGCTTCTCGCTGTTAAGCATGATGTTGGCTATGGTTTTGTCATATTCGGCCTTTATTATATTGAGGTTCTTGCCTTCTATACCCATTTTGTTGAGTGTTTTTATCATGAATGTATGTTGAATTTTATCAAATGTTTTTTCAGCATCTATGGAGATGATCATGTGGTTTTTGTTCTTCTTTTTATTGATGTGGTGGATGATGCTGATGTATTTTCGAATATTGTACCATCCTTGCATCCATGGAAGAAATCCTACTTGATCATGATGGATGATCTTTTTGATGTATTTTTCAATTCGATTTGCTAATATTTTGTGTAGTATTTTTCACATGTGTTCATCAGGGATATTTGTTTGTAATTTTGTTTTTTTGTGGTTTTTTTGCTTTTTGTGGTTTCTTTGCCTGGTTTTGGTATTAGAGTGATGCTGGCCTCATAGAATGAGTTTGTTAAGTATTTCCTCCTCTTCTACTTTTTAGAAAACTTTAAGGAATATGGGTATTAAGTCTTCACTAAATGTTTGATGAAAGGCATTTTGTTCTTAGGTCATTTTTTATTACCAGTTCAATTTCTTCAGTCGTAGTTGGTCTGTTCAGATTTTCTGTTTCTTCTTGTGTCAGCCTTGGAAGGTTGTATTTTTCTGGAAAGTTGTCCATTTCTTCTAGGTTATCCAGTTTGTTAGCATATAATTTTTCATAGTATTTTCTAATAATTCTTTGTATTTCTTTGGTGTCCATAGTGATTTTTCCTTTCTTATTTCTGTTTATATATGTAGACTCCCTTTTTTTCTTGATAAGTCTTGCTTGGGACTTATCTATTTTATTTATTTTCTCGAACAACCAGCTTCTGCTTCATTGATTCTTTCTATTGTTTTATTCTTCTCAAATTTATTTATTTCTGCTTTAATCTTTATTATTACCCTCCTTCTACTGACTTTGGGCTGCATTTGTTTTTCTTTTCCTAATTTCGTTACTTGTGAGTTTAGACTGTTCATGTGTCAGCCTTCACTGTGTCCCACAGATTTTACGGTGTTGAGTTATAGTTGTCACTTTTTTGCATATATTGCTTGATCTCTGTTTTTTGTTGGTCATTGATCCATTGATTATTTAGGAGCATGTTATTAAGCGTCCATTTATTTGTGAGTATTTTTATTTTCTATGCATAGTTTATTTCTAGTTTCATACCTTTGTGGTCTATGAAGCTGGCTGGCACAATTTCAACCTTTTTGAATTTACCAAGGCTTGTTTTGTGGCTTAGTATGTGATCTATACTGGAAACTGTTCCATGTACACTTGAGAAGAATATGTATCCTTATTCTTTTGGGTGGGGTGTTCTATAGATGTCTGTTAAGGTCCATCTTTTCTAGTGCATTGTTCAGTGCCTTTGTTTCCTTCTTTTCTGCCTGGTTGATATGTCTTTTGGTGTGAGTGGTATGTTGAAGTCTCCTAAAATGAATGCATTGCATTCTATTTTCACCTTTAAGTCTGTTAGTACCTGTTTTATACATTTAGGTGCTCCTGTATTGGGTGCAGAGATATTTATAATAGTTATATCCTCTGTTGGAATGACCCCTTAATCATTATGTTATTTTCTTCTTTGTCTCTTGTTACTTTATTTTGAAATCATTTTGTCTGATATAAGTACTGCTGCTCCTGCCTTTTTCTTCCTATTATTTGCCTGAACTATCTTTTTCCATCTTTTCACTTGTACTAGTCTGTGTATGACTTTCAGTTTGAAGTGAGTCTCCTATAGGCAGCATACAGATGGGTCTTGTTTTTTTTATGCATTCTGTAACTGTGTGTCTTTGGATTGGTGAATTCAGACCATTTACATTTAGGGTGATTTTCCATAGATACATACTTATTCCCATTGTAGGCTTTAGATTTGTGGTTACCAAATGTTCAAGGGCTGCTTCCTTACTATCTAACAGGCTAAATTAACTTGCTTATTATGCTATTTCAAATACAATCTAAAGGTTCTTTTTCTCTCTCCCTTCTTCTTCATCTTTCTCCTCCACTCTTTATATATTAGGTGTTATATTCTCTACTCTTAGTATATCCCTTGACTGACTTTGTGTTTAGTTAATTTAATTTTCATTTGCTTAGTAATTAATTGGTCTACTTCCTTTACTGTGTTTTCATTTTCTCTGGTGACAGCTATTTAGCCTTAGGAGCACTTCCATTTAGAGTGGTCCCTTTAAGACACTGTAGAGATGGTTTGTGAGTGGTGAATTCCCTCAATTTTTGCTTATGTGGAGACTGTTTAATCCCTGCTGCAAATTTAAATGATAATCTTTCCAGATAGAGTATTCTTGGCTGGAGACCCTTGTGTTTCATTGCATTCAGTATATCATGCCACTCCCTTTTTGCCTTTAAAGTTTCTTCTGAGAAGTCTGCTGACAGTCTGATGGGCTTTCCTTTATAAGTAATCTTTTTTCTCTCTCTGGCTGCTTTCCATACTCTGTCCTTGTCCTTGGTCTTTACCATTTTAATTATTATGTCTTAGTGGTGTCTTCCTATGGTCCCTTGTGTGGGAGCTCTCTGCACTTCCATGACTGAGTGACTTATTTCCTTCCCCAGGTTGGGGAAGTTTCATCAATTATTTCCTCAAGGAGAATTTCTATCCCTTTTTGTCTCTCTTCTTCTACTGGTACCTGTGTAGTATGAATATTGTTCCTTTTGGATTGGTTGCACAGTTCTCTTATTATTTTTTCATTCCTGGAGATTTTTTTTTCTCTGCCTCAGCTTCTTTGTTTTCTTGTTCTCTAATTTCTGAATAGATATTTAGTTGGTTTCTACATCTTCGGTATTGTGAATAGTGCTATGATGAACATAAGAGTGCTAATAGCTCTTTGAGATCCTGTTTTCAATTCTGTTGAGTAAATATCCAACACTGGGATTACTGGATCATATGATAGTTTTATTTTTAATTTTTTGAGACATGTCCATGCTGTTTTCCATAGCAGCAACACCATTTGCAGTCTTAGCAACCCTTTTGTTTTTTGATAATAACTATCCTGACAGGTGTGAGATGGTATCTCATTGCAGTTTTGATTCTCATTTTCCTGAAGATAAATGATGTTGAGCAGTTTTTCATCTACCTGTTGGACATTTATAGGTTTTCTTTGGGGAAATGTGTTCGAGTCATTTTTCCATTTGTTAGTTGGGTTATTATTTAACTGTTGAGTTGTAGGAATTCCTTATATATTTTGGAGATTAACCTCTTACTGGATATATGGTATGCAAATATTTTCTCTTTCTGTAGATTGCCCTTTCGCTTTGTTGGTTGTTTCCTCTGTTGTGTAGAATCTTTTGAGTTTAATGTAGCCCCACTTGTTTTTGTTTGTGTTGCATGTGCTTTGGGTATCATATCTATGAAATTTTTCCAAAGACCAATGTCATGAAGCTTTTCCTCTCTGTTTTCTAGGAGTTTTACAGTTGCAGGTCTTACATTTAGGTCTGTAATCTATTTTGAGTTGATTTCTATATATTGTGTAAAATTGGATTTATTATTCTTCTATATGTGGTTACCCAGTTGTCCAACACCATTTGTCGAAGAGACTGTTCTTTCCCCACCATGTATGCTAGGTACCCTTATCAGTGATCAGTTGTACACGTATAGGTGGATGTTATGTGGGTGCTCTATTCCATTTCATCGATCTCACATAACCTGTCCTACCTTATTTTCCTCTGTTCTCTCTACTTTTTAAATTGTATAAGCCACGGAAACGGAATCTTCACACTCACTTATTTGCTTAGTGCTTTTTTTTCTAGATTAAAAGAAAGCCATTGAAAGTTGTTAAGCAGAAAATGACAGGTCCAGTTTACATATTTAAAAAACTACTCTGATCACTTTTTGAATAATAGATTGGAAGAGTACAAGAATGGACAGGAAACCTGTTAGAGATATGCAGTATTGTGGAAAACAGTGGAGAGAAGTGGACAGTTATGTTTGTTGAGGGATTTGTGGCAGGAACAAGAAGGTATTGGAACTGGAAATGACAAGAATAACCTCCAGATTTCAGTTTGGGTTTGAATTATGTACCATTTACAGAGATTTGAAAGAGTGGGAGAGGTACATTTAGAGGAGGCTTGAATACAGTTCAGTTAGGGACATTTATAATTTAACATGACTGGGATCCAAGAGGGTACAGCATGTATGTAGTTGAATATGAATCTGGAACTCTAAGAAAGAATGTAGAATAAGAATATTCCCTGGAATTGGCCTCACATGGAAGTCACTGATTATCTTAGGAAGGGCAGTTAAAAGTTAGAAGTCCAGTGGAATGGCTGTTCTCTGATTAGAAGAGAGAATTGGGGCAGGGAAAGAGGTAAAGAAAAGAAAAAATTATATTTTCCACTTGAAATGTTTGGCTATAACAAGGAGCAAAGACATGTGCCAATACCTGAAGGAGGATATGAAGGTTTTCTAAATATATAATACACTAAATGATGCCTTCGGAATGTTGGAAATGACCCAGTAAAGAGAGAGAGCCTGAAGTTATGACATATGACATGGAAAGGAACCACGGTCCTGAACGGAAGATGGGTTATACTTCCTTTGCCCCAGTGGAGGAACTTGCATTTAAAAGGAGGGGTGGTTCTATTACTGCATCTGAAAAGATTGTAGGTGTACGTGGATTGCTGAAGGGTGATGTTACCTACATGATGATCTCCCAGCCAGAATGTTTTTCACCCGCTGTCTTTTTGCTGTAGCGCTCACTTTTACTTCATATTTCAGCCTCCTCAGAGAAGCCTTCCCTAACTACCACTTCCTATTTAAATTATTCTTCCATCACTTTTGCTTTTATCCTTAATAGCCCTTAATATAATATATAATTGTACAATCGTTTATATTGCAGCTATGTAACCATAAAGTTTTTTTAGTTTTAAAATAAATTTTTTATTTTCAAAGTTTTAGATTCAAAGGAAAATTGTGAAGATAGTACTAAAAGTTCTCATACACCCTACACTGTTTCCCTTATTAACATATTAGTATGGTGCATTCATTATAATTAATGAACAAATATTGGTAGAGTATTATGAACTAATGTCTACACTTTCTTTAGATTTTTCCTTTGGTCATTATCTACTGCTGTGGGGAAAGTGAAGGTTCCTGTAGCCAGGATTCTGAACAACTGCTTTCTCTGGTAAAGCCCTTAACATAGTAGTCCTAGTTATTTTAAATTCTCTGGGATAGTTCTAAAAAGCTGTGTCATGTCTGAGTTGGTTCTGATGGTTGCTTTGCCTCTTCAGAACGTTTTTTTCTTTGCCTCTTGGTATGCCTTGAAATATTTTGTTGAAAGACATTTTGTATCAGGTAATAGGAACTGAGTGAATGGACTAGGACTTTTAATCTGACCAGGGGTTAGGCTGTGTTAAATATTTATTGGACTTTGTGGATGTTAGAGTTTTTACATTCCTCTTATGTCCCTGTTTTTTGTCTTCCTCTTAACACTGGGCTCCCCTAAGCCTTCCTCCTCAGAGTGTGGGTCCTAACACTCGTCAGCTGTAACCCACTGATCCTGGAGCCCTGCTGGTGTCACGGTAAGCTGTGAGGGAGGGGAAACGTCCTATAATTTATGAATGAATCTTCATTTTTTACTGAGTCTCTTTTTTTGGTCCATGACATTCAAAAATGCTTCTCCAGTGGTTTAGCTTTTCTTTTTAAACCAAACTTAGGTGAGAAAAGAAGTCTAGAGGCCACTGGAATAGGAAGAAATCTCTTCTCCCACCTGGAATGACCACTCTGAGTACAAGTTTTTTCCCAGGAGGGTAGGCTTTCTCGTGGAGAACTCTCTGGGTGTATTTCACAGTGATTTGTCTTGTTCCCTTTTGGATCATTCTCGGATCCTTGTGAGAATCTGGTGCATTTCCAGTTGATGGCCCCAGAGGATTCTGTTCCAGGGGAGCAAATGTCAGCTGTGACTGGATGTGCCTTCCTCTTCGGATTTCAGGGTAGTGATTTGACTTGGAGTTTCATTCACAACCTCATTTCTTGTTTGGGTCAGTTTGTTCTGCTTTTCCTTGGAAGAAGGGAAGTGATGACTTCCAAGCTCTTTTTGAATATCAGCGCGATTGTAAATAGACATACGAGTTATTAGGAGACTTCAGTTGAGAAAAATCACCAGGTCTAAACCCATGCAGGTTGGTGTGATCACTATCCAGTGGGCATGGCATTTTCTAGGACAACCTAAGGCAGCTAGAGCTAGAATTCAGAGAAAGGGTGGTGACGGGAAGAACAAGTCAGGGAAGCGGGAGCACCACCGCTATCAAGGTGAAAGGATTGCAGGCTTGGTATCGGATGGGTGTGTGACCATCTACAAGTCAGTAATTCCGGTCTGTCTTCATCTGGTCAAATCAAAGAGGCGAGCAGCAGCCGCTCGAGCTCCCGGCGGGCGTCCCGCTTGTCCCTGCGGAGCTGCGGCTCTGCCTCGTCGTTGATGCGCTGGGCTTCCTTGTCCCCGCTCAGGCAGCGCGCCGCGATGGCCTCCAGAGTCACTCTCCCCCAGCGCCTCCGCTGCAGCCCCGCCGGCCCTCTGCTCACACGCGCGCGCGCACACCCTCCCGCCCTCGCTACCCGGAGGCTGCGTAGGCCGCCGAGCCCCCGCCGCCCAGGCGCGCGTCCGGGAGAAGCTCGGGGAACCTCTGCGGGGCTGTGGCCAGGGCCGGGCCAGCAGGTCGGCCGGGGAGGCAGCGGGAGCGGACGGCTGGGGCCACCGGGACGAGCGAGGCGGGCGCGGGCGCGGGGGGCGCGCGAGGGAAGGCCTCCCGCCCGGCCTCGCTTGCACGCCCGCGCCTCCTTCCCCAGGATGCGGCGGCCCGCCTCGCCCCCCGCGCAGCCTCCGCCGCCCCCTCCGCCGAGGTTCCCTGAAGGCCTGCGCCCGGCGGCGAGAGCACAGGCACCGGGGCGTCCCTGCAGCGAGTGACCGACGACGGCCCGGCGCGCCCGCCCCTCGCCGCCGCCTGGCACTGCTCCGGGGCCCCCTCGGCCCTGCCCGCGCGCAACCCCGCATGGCGCTCCTGTAATTGTAAGTTTTTAAGTGCTGCTAGCATCTGTTTATTTTTGTTTATCTTTTCATTGTTTATCTTTGTGATGTATTGTTGCCTTTTTGATGATTCCTTGGAATTTTGTTCCCACTGGATCATTATCATCTGAAAATAAAAGGTTTACTTCCTTTCTGATTTAGATGCTTTAACTTCTGTTGTGCTGCTCCCTTCTCTCTCTCTCCTCTTGTCTGGCACCTCCAGTACTTGTAGAATGGAACCGTTGGTCGTCACATCCGTGTCTTGTTTTGAACGTAGGGGAAAACATTCAGTCTTGTATCATTAAATGTAATTTTGGCTGTAGGTTTTATATGCCTTTTATTGGGTTGAGGAAGTTCCATTCATTTCCTAGTTTGTTGAGTGTTATGAATAAGTATGGGATTTTTGTTAGATACTTTCTGCTTCTATGGAGGTGGTCATGGTCTTTTTCCCATTTATTTTGTTAATGTGGTATATTTCATAAACTGATTTTCAGATATTGAACTTTGATTTCTGGAATAAATACCACTTCAGCGTATAATCCTTTTGACTTGTTGCTGGATTTGGTTTGAAAATATTTTATTAAGGATGTTCTTTACTTCTGTTCATGAAGGTTATTGATCTGTATTTTACATTCCTTGTGATATCTTCATCTAGCTTTGGTATCAGGATAATAATGACTGCAGATAATGAGTTGGGAATTGTCTCTTCCCCATTTACTTAAAGAGTTTGTGGAGGATTTGTATTATTTCTTTAAATATTTGTTAGAATCCACCAGTGAAGGCACTCACTCATACAGGAACTTGTCTTTGTGTGACTTTTAATTACTGAATCAATCTTGTTACTTATTATATCTATTCAGAAACTAGTTTTTCTTGAGATTTTATAATTTCGGTCATTCTAGAATTCTTCTCTTTTGTTTTCTGTCTCATTGTTGGCGTTAGAGTTTATAATATTCTTTTCTAATCCTTTTAATTTCTGTGATGTCAGTAATGATGTTCCCTTATTTTTGATTTGGTAATTTCAGTCCTCTCTTCATTCTAGCTAAAGATTTCTCAATTTTGTTGATCTTATTTAAAACACCTTTTAGGTTCATTGATTTCTCTGTTCCTTTATGGTTTTCTATTTGATTATTTCTTGTAAACATGTATTATTTCCTTATTTAGGCTTCTTTTGTGTTTCATATATTTTTACTTTCTTAAGATAGAAACTTAGTTGATTTGAAACCATTTTTTTTTTTAACAAAGGCATTTAAAGGTACAACTTTCTGTCTTATCACCTCTTTAGGTACATCCCGTAAATTTTGTTAAATTGAGTTTTGTTTTCATTCAGGTCAAATATGTTTCAGTTTCTCTTCTGATTCCTTGTCTATTCCACAAGTTACTTTGAGGTGCTAGTTTAATTTCTACATATTTGTGGAAAGTTCTTATTTCATTCCTTTGTGGTAGGCAAACATACTTTGTATGACTTTTTTTTAGGTTTATTTTGACACTAATTTTTTTGCCTAGCATATGGTCTATTCTGGAGAATATTCTATGTATACTTGAAAAGAATATGTATTCTGCAGTCATTGGACAGTGTTCCACACATGTCATCACTTTGGTCCAGTTCGTTGGTTGAGTTATTAAGTCTTCTATATCTCTGATTTTCTGTCTAGTTGTTCCATCTATTATTGACAATGGAATATTTAAATTTGCTACTGTAAATAGTGCTACGATAAACATAGGGGTGCATGTGTCTTTTTGAATTTGGGATCCCGAATTCTTAGGGTAAATTCCTAAGAGTGGAATTCCTGGGTCAAATAGAATTTCTATTTTTAGTTTTTTGAGGAACCTCCATACTGCTTTCCACAATGGTTGAACTTAAATTATTACATTCCCACCAAGAGTGTAAGAGGGTTCTCCTTTCTCCACATCCTTGCCAGCATTTGTTGTTGGTTGTCTTTTGGATGTTGGCTATCGTAACTGGTGTGAGGTGATATCGCATTGTTGTTTTAACTTGCATTTCTTTGATAATTTGCAATGTGGAGCATCTTTTCCTGTGCCTGTTGGCCGTCTGAATTTCTTCTTTGGAGAAGTGTCTGTTCATATCCTCTGCCCAACTTTTCAAATGGATTATTTGCTTTTTGGGTTTTTTGGTGTGTGAGTTCTTTATATATTTTGGATGTTAACCTCTTGTCTGATATTTCATTTACAAATATATTCTCCCATACTGTAGAATGCCTTTTTCTTCTGCTGATGCTGTCCTTTGCTGGACAGAAGCTTTTTAGCTTGATGTAGTCCCATGTGTTCATTTTTGCTTTTGTTGCCCTTGTCTGAGGAGATGCGTTCAGGAAACAGTTGCTCATGTTTATATTCAGGAGATTTTTGTCTGTGTTTTCTTCTAAGAGTTTTATGATTTCATGCCTTACACTCAGGTCTTTGATCCATTTTGAGTTTTAATCTCATGTATTTTAGAGAAATTAAGGGAAAAAGTGAGAAAAATTAATGGATATAAATCTTTTATTTTTACCCATATATTTAGCACGTTCAGTGGTTTCCATTTCTTCCTGTGTATTTGTTTTAGTGTCTTGTGTCGTTTCTTTTCAACCTGAAGGTTTTATTTAGTATTCCTTATAGGTCATGTTTGCTAGCAACAGTTATTTTGAGTACTTGTTCATCTGTGACTATCTTTACATCAGTTTCATTTTTGAAGGATTCCTTTTTCGAGAGAACAGGATTCATAACTGATAGTTTTCCCCCCTTTATTTCAGCTCTTTGAATTAATAGTTCCAGTGCCTTCATATCTCCGTTGTCTCTCACAAGAAGTTGGCCAGTGATATTGTGTGTTGGCCCCACCTCCACACCCCTTCCCATACATGTTGAGTCATTTTTCGTGTGCTGCTTTCAAGGTAGTCTCTGACTTTTTTTCTGATAGTCAGCTGGCTGTGATGTGTCTAGCTGCGCTCTTTATGTTTATCTTGGGGTATGTCAAGCTTCTTGGATTTGTAGATTAATGTTCCCATCCAAAAAATGACATTTTGTCCATTATTCCTTCAGACCTTTTTTCTGCTCTTTTCTCTTGGTCTTTGCCTTCCCAAGTGCCCATTACACATAGGTTCATTTGTCTGATGGTGTCCCACAAGTTTCTGTTTTTCCTCAGTCTTTCACTCAGTTCTCCAGTTTGGGTCATTCTTAGTAATTTATTTTTAACTTCACACTTCTGTTGCAAACTCAAAAATGCTGTTGTACCTCTCTAGTAAGTTTGTAATTTCAGTAATTTTACTTTTTAAATCCAGAATTTCCTCTTGTTTGTTTTCATCAATTGATGAATGGCTAACCAAAGGTGGTATATCTGTATAATGGAATATTATTCAGTAATAAAAAGGAATGAAGTACCGATACAACTTGGATGAACCTTGGCAACAGTATGCTAAGTAAATAAGACAGACACAAGTGGCTTCATGTAATTCTATTTATGTGAAATGTCTAGACTAGACAAATCCATACAAACAAAATGTATTTTTGGAAGCCAGTTAATGGGGAAAGGTGGCAATGGAGAGTGAACGCTGCAATGGTGAATTTCATTCTATGTGAATTATTTCTTAATAAAAATTAATCATACTAGGTTAGTATTTGCTAAGGATAGACATATATATGATTCCAGAATTAGACTCACAGATACATTGTTAATTGATTAATAAAGTTGCTTTATTAATTTCCTGTTGTTGCTATAACAAATTACCATACACTTAGTGGCTCAAACAATATAGTTATTATCTTACAGTTATTTAGGTCAAAAGTCGGAAATGAATTTCACTGTTGTAGAATCGAGTTGACATGGTTGCATTCCTTTCTAGAGGCTGGAGAGGATCTGTTTCCTTCCCTTTCTAGCTTGGACGAACTTCCTGCATTCCTCAGCTGGTGGACCCCTTTCATCTTCAAACCCAGTAGTGATTGGTTGAATCTCACATTACACCACTCTGACATTGACTCTTATGCTTTCCTCTTCCCCATTTAAGGACCCTGCCATTACACTGGGCCCAACCATATAATCCAGGAAAGTCTCCCTATTTTAGGCCAGTCTCTTAGCAACTTTAATTCCACCTGCTAACTTAATGCCTTTTGCCATGTAACATAACATATTCACAGGCTCTGGGAATTAGAATGTGGACATTTTGGGGTGCCTGTTATCTCGCCTACCACAGATTTGAAGAAAGTAATAGTATTGTTAACAAACATTGTTAGAATAACTAGATTTCCAATAACTTATTTTGCTCGTGCCTATCCAGTTGTCCCTGTACCATTTGTTGAAAAGACTATTCTTTCTTCCATTAAGTTGCTTTGGTACCTTAGTTGAAAATAGATTGTAAATATAAGGGCTTATTTCTGCACACTCAATGCTAGAAATCTATGCCAATAACACTGATTACTGTAACTCTAAGTTTTGAAATAAAAAAACGTGAGTTCTTTAACTTTGTTTTTCATTTTCACGATTATTTGGCTTTTCTGGGTCCCTTCCAGGCCATCTGAATTTTAGGGTCAGCTTGTCAATTCCTACCAAAATCGTTCTTAGACATGTTAGTTTTCGGGATCAATCTTCCCTTTAAACATGTATATCCTGATCTTGGCCAGTAGGTTCCGCCTGATGTCATTATGCTTGACGTCTCCATGAAAGCTCCTTCTCTAAAGGTTTTCCTTGAAAATAGATAAACTGGTCTCCTTGAAAGGACCGCGGGCGAGTTCAGCGCAGGTCTTATAAGACAATCTTCCTGGGCTGGTACCTCACGCTTTCCGGTCTAGACTACATTTCCCAGGAGAACTTGCGAATCCAGCGACTTTTTCTATTTCTCAGGGAACATGGCTCCCTGGAATTGGCACGGCCCATGGAGGAAGCTTGTGTACAGGACGTGGGGCCTGCACCTGTGTGGGAGCCTCACCCCCAGACTGCATGTTGATCTCGAAGATTCCTGGCAGCGATTCTGAGAGGGGAGCGAGGATGTCGGCTTGGCTCCCCTTGTGCACTAGCAGGAAAACCGGAGGTCGGGGCGCCGTCTTATCCCAGCGGATTCGGCTCCAAACTACATTTCCCCGGAGCCCCCGGGGGACCTGGGCTGCCTTTTCACTTGCCTGCGGCGCGCTCGGACTCCGGAGAAGAGGAAGTGCAAGGTGAGCGGCCTAGGTCCTGGGGTCTCGACTTGATTGTTCCGGCTCGTCCCTGGGGTTCGACTGGAACTGTCCGACCGGGTCTGGAATCTCCGCCCTGTGTGAGTTGGTCGGGCTGTGGGAGGGGCTCTTGCGTGTAGGATTCCATGCGTGCGATTATGACATAATGTGACTGCGGCGCTGTGTGCGGGTGTCATTGTGACCATGACTATGTGCCGAGCTCTGAGCTCTGCGTGCAGGAGATTGTGGATATCCCCATGTTGCTGTGACACCGCGTGACCGTGTGTGTGCAGGCGAGACTGGCCCCGTGGTGGGGCTGTGAGTTTGGGTCCGTATAATTTTGTGTGACATTGTGCCAGAATCTCTGATCGTGCGGCTCTGTCTGCGGATTGTGTGTCGCAGTGGTCGTATGAATGTTAGCAGCACTAAGTGCGCTGGCTGTGACTGTGAGGATGTGTGAGTGTGATCACGCAACTTTGCGTGTGAGGTTGCAGGGTAGTTGTAATTGTGCCGGGGGTAATAACGTGTGTGTACCAGTGGTTACTGTGTGAGGTCGGGTCAGACTGAGGTCTTGGGCAGCAGAGACTTCTCCCCTTCTGACACTAGGAATACTCAGGACAGCCTTGACTCTTTTGACCTCTGTCCTTGACTCCATGGGTGGTTAATGTGGGTCCAGAACTGCCTCCTATCTGGGCAGTTTACACCACAAGAAAGGGCTGCCATCTCATAATTCCTTTTTTTCTTCCTCACCTCTGCCCTTCTCAGAGGGGTCCCCATAGGAAGGAGGAGGAATGGTTGTTGGCCAAACCAAATACAAGGTGCAGTGGGGTTTCCTTTTTGCTTTCATTATCCTGGGATGGTCTTGTTTAACACAGAGTTATCAGGTGACTTGGTTCTTAGAAATTTCTCTTCAAGAAAATGATGGGAAGCTCTCCGGGTGGACACACAGATCCCAGTATTCTCCCTCATTTATTTCTACATAATGTTCACATATTAATATAGGAAAGAGCTCAGTTTCCCCTATGTACTAAGTTTTAGTTTCCTTTTAAACACACACACATGATTTTTTAAAATTAAAGTACTGTTGATATGAATCTTAGGTTGGTTTCAAATGTACAACAGTTATCCATATTATTGAATCTTCACCCCCATAGTGTGGTCACTGTATTAATCAATGTAGTAAGGTGTTACAGAATCTTTAACTATTCTCCGTGCTGTGCTACTGTCCCAGTGACTACTTTATATCGTATGTTAGCAGCACTAAGTACGCTGGCTGTGACTGTGAGGATGTGTGAGTGTGATCACGCAACTTTGCGTGTGAGGTTGCAGGGTAGTTGTAATTGTGCCGCGGGTAATAACGTGTGTGTACCAGTGGTTACTGTGTGAGGTCGGGTCAGACTGAGGTCTTGGGCAGCAGAGACTTCTTCCCTTCTGACACTAGGAATACTCAGGACAGCCTTGACTCTTTCGACCTCTTTTGTGAGTTATTGTGCCCCTTTATCCCTTTTCCCCTCCCCCCAGCCAACCCAACCCCACCCCTTTGCCTTGGTAACCACTAGTACCTTCTGGGTGTCTGTGAGTCTATGGCTATTTTGTTCTTCCTGTTTTGCTTTGTTTTTTGTGTGTGTGTGTGTGTGTGTTTTGTTGTCTAGAAGAGACTCACTTTATTTTTATTTTTATTTTTTTATTAAGGTATCATTGCTATACAATCTTCAGAAGGTTTCCCATGAAAAACATTGTGGTTATAACATTCAACAATAGTATCAATTCCCCCCACACACCCCATTGCAGTCACTGTCCATCAGCATAGTAAGATGCTATAGAGTCACTACTACTCTTCTCTGTGCTATACTGCTTTCCCCTAAGCCACTTACATTATGTGTGCTGATCGTACTGCCCCTTAATCCCCTTCACCCTCCCTCCCCACCCACCCCTTCCTTTGGTAACCACTAGTCCCTTCTTGGAGTCTGAGTCGGCTGCTGTTTTGTTCCTACAGTTTTGCTATGTTGTTATACTCCACATATGAGTGAAGTCATTTGGTACTTGTCTTTCTCCGCCTGGCTTACTTCACTGAGCATAATACCCTCTAGCTCCATCCATGTTGTTGCAAATAGTAGGATTTATTTTCTTCCTATGACTGAATAATATTCCATTGTGTATATGTACCACATCTTCTTTATCCATTCATCTACTGCTAGACACTTGGGTTGCTTCCATATCTTGGCTATTGTAAATAGTGCCGTGATACATGTAGGGGTGTATATGTCTTTTTTAATCTGGGATTTTGTGTTTTTTCTGGGTAAATTCCTACGAGTAGAATTCCTGGGTCAAATGGTGCTTTTATTTTTAGTTTTTTGAGGAACCTCTCTATTGCTTTTCACAATGGTTGAACTAATTTACAGTCCAATCAGCAGCGTAGGAGGGTTCCCCATTCTCTGCATCCTTGCCAGCATTTGTTGTTTCCTGTCTTTTGGATGTTGGCCATCCTAACTGGTGTGAGGTGATAACTCCTTGTGGTTTTAATTTGCATTTGCCTGATAATTAGTGATGTGGAACATCTTTTCATGTGCCTGTTGGCCATCCGAATTTCTTCTTTGGAGAAGTGTCTGTTCAAATCCTCTGCCATTTTTTAATCGGGTTATTTGCTTTCTGGGTGTTGAGGTGGGTGATCTCTTTTTTTGCTTTGTTTTTATACTCTGCAAATCATATGGTACTTGTCTTTCTTTGCTGGCTTTTTTCACTGAGCATAATACCCTCTACCTCTATCCATGTTGTTGCAAATGGGAGAATTTGTTTCTTCTTATGGCTGAATAAAAATACATTGTGTATATGTACCACATCTTTTTTATCCATTCTTCTTTTGATGGGCACTTAGACTGCTTTCATATCTTGGGTACTAAAAACAGTTCAGCAATAAACGTAGGGGTGCATATGTCTTTTCTAATCAGGAATGTTACAACATGATTCTTTTAAAGAATTTGGAAACTAAGAAGTTACAAAGAGTAAAACTATACTCCTACCACCCCGACATAACCACTGTCGATATTTTAATTGATTTCCTTCCAAGTCTGTTATGCACATATGGTATACGTTAGTTTCAAGATTTGAATCTTAACAGCAGTTACTATTTCATCTTACATTTTCACTAAAAACTATTTGTAGCTGTTATATAGTTTTTATTTATTTTAAAAAAGAAATTCCTGAATATTACAGACATACACAACAGTGCTTATAATAGTGACATATAATTTAAGAAGTAAATATAAGAGAACCTCAATATAACAACCATTTGTGTCAATATGACTTTTGGTGCACATATGAATGCATTTCTGTTGGGTATATCCTCAGGGTGAAATTTCTGTCATAGATTATGCATACATTCAGCTTTAATGTATACTGACAACTTCCTAAGTTCTCCTGAAGACCCTGTTAGTTCTGCCCCCAGAGTAAACCTAATCTCTTCCCCTCTTTAGGTAACCCATATCCTGATTTTGATAATAGTTTTTGTTTTTGTTAACATTTACCACATATCTATACATCCCTAAACAATGTAGTTTTGCCTTTTTAAGTTTATAGAAATGAAATTGTGTGGTGTAATGTTTTGAGTCTTGCTTTTCTTACACAATATTTTATTTTTTAGGCTTACTCATGTAAGTTATTACATACAGCTGTAGTTTGGACATCGGTTTTTTCTAGTTTTTGGCTCTTGAGAAAGGGTTGCTGTAAACGTATTTTTACAAGTACCCTGGTATGCATGCTTCCCTAGGGTATAGAAATACAAATGAAATTGCTGGACCATAGGATGTGTATCTATCTTCAAATTTCCTTGATAATGCCAAACTGATTTTCAATATGGTTATCCAAGTTAAATTCCTACTAGCTATTTACAAACATACAGATCCCTTATTTTGTCTAATACTTGGCCACTTGGTATTTTAATTTTTGATGGATCTGCTGATATAAAGGTATATCATGTAGTTTTAAATTAGAGAAAGTATAAAAATCAAAGTATATAACTTAATGAATTTTACAAAATGAATGTTCTCAACCAGAGCTCAAATCAGAAAAGGAAATAGGACATTACAGCATTCCAGAAGCCCAACTCTTGTCCTATCCACTCACTGTCCACCTCTTCCAAAGATAGCCGTTATTCTGTTTTCTATAATCATATATTAGTTTTACCTGTTCTTGAATCTTACATAAATCACACAATATCTCCTCCTTCATGTTTGACTTCTTTTGCTCAACATTGCATTTCATGTGTAATATGAATGTACTATGTAATAATATTATGTAGTTTGAATTTGCAAGATTCATCCAAGTTGCTTTACATAGCTGTAGGTCATTCATTATCTTGCTGTTTAAAATTCCATTGTGTAAATGTTACACAGTTTATTTTCCATCAAGTATTGATTGATATTTGAGTTTTTTTCCTGTTGAGGCTAGTATGAACCAGGCTGCTATGAACGTTCTTCTACATGACTTTTGGTGCACATATGAATGCATTTCTGTTGGGTATATCCTCAGGGTGAAATTTCTGTGTCATAGATTATGCATACATTCAGCTTTAATGTATACTGACAACTTCCTAAGTTCTATCAATTTACATTCCTGACTTCATGTGTGAGAATAGACTTTAGGACAAGGAGCTTTACTAGAGACAAAGAGCAATAGTTGATAATAAAAAGTTAGTTCACCAGTATGGTGTTACAGTCCTAAATATATTTACTTTCATAAAATGACTTCAAATATATTTGACAGAACTAAAAGTAGTAGACATATCACAATTATAGTGGGATTTTTAGCACTTTTCTCAGTACTGAAAGATCAATTAATGTAAATCCAGTAATGCTATGTAATATTTGAACAATGTGATTGACAAACTTGACCTAATACATATATGTAGAACAGTGTTCCCTACAACTACAGTGTATGTTATTTTAAGATACATATGGGACATTTACCCAAATTGATTATATGCAGCACTATAAAAGCAATGTGTGATTGTGACAATCTCAATAAATTTCAAAGGATTGAGATAATACTGTATGTTTTCTGATCACAGCGTAATCCAGCCAGAAAATAAATAGCAAAAAGATAT